GTAAAATTATCTCGAGAGGGAAGGGAAGGTTTGAGTCACTTGTATCAATATTCTTCAGAAGAAAACAAAAAATTAAGCTATTTTTTCTATGTGTCTGTTTGTTTAATTTTTTTTTGCTGTTTTTTTTTTGCTGCAAGTTTTTATGTGGGGAGGAGGAGGGGGAAGGAGAAAGAGTGGGGGGGAGGAGAGAGAGTGGGGGAGAAGTAAGGAGTGGGGGAGGAGTAAAGAGTGGGGGAAGGAGGAAGAGTGGGGAGGAGGAAGAGTGGGGGGGATGAGAAAGAGGGGGGGGGGAGGAGAAAGAGGGGGAGGAGAAGTGGGGGGAAGGGAGAGAAGGAGTGGGGAGAGGAGAGAAGAGGGGGGATGGGGGAGGGGCAAGGTGGGGGAAGTAAAGAGTGGGGGGAGGAGTAAGAGTGGGGGGGAGAAGAGGGGGTGGAGGAGTAGCAGAGTGGGGGGAGGAGTAAAGAGTGGGGGGGGAGGAGTTACATCCGTGTAGCAGATGGTAAAGCTGTTGCTGTATCCAACGACCACAAGGAAAATTCTCCTGTAGTAACTGGCTGGAGGGAGTCTGGGTCCTCTGGTACCTACCTACCTGCTCACGTGGTCACCATTCAAATTGCCAATAGTGTATGATATGGACACAAAGTAGTACCTTAAGCTGTGTATTATTATATTACTCTTATATTACTCTATTAATTATGTATAATAAGTATTACAGAACATGTATTAATTCTATGTAATATTCCCATTTATTTTGCACCATGTTATTTCTCAGTGAGATACAGTGGACCTAGCCTTCCCGCCCAGACTCTGTTAAAGGCGTCTCGTCTTCAGCTTCATGGACTTACAGCAAGACTACTACAAGCCTCTAGACTTACAGTGTTGTGAAGTGCTATGCTGTGTACAGTGCTGTGCTGTGAGGTGAAGTGTTTTGTGAAGTGCTGTGTTGTGAATTTTAATCATAATTGTCTGTGCAAATTGCGGTCAGATGACTAAGGGAGCTGGTCCAGCAGTGCGTCCGCTCCCGTCTCTTAGTCCGGAGGGTAACTAACCGACCAGCGAGCGACTCTGCCCAGTTGGCAGCGCGCCAAGCCTCTCCCGGCAACCAGCCACACACACACACACACACACGCATTCACAGAACCACCTTATATTAAATTCTTGTGACTTACTTCAGACTTCTGTAATTCTGTGCATAGATTACGAGGGGCTGACCCGGTCTTTTGCACAAATAGAGTACAGAAGCTGTCGGCATGTCTCACAGGGATCAAAATGATACCCTGGACGATGGGGTTACGAGTTTTAGTGTGGGAGACCTCTCCCCACCCACCCTCAGGCCCCACTCTCCCCACAGTGACACCGCCAAGTCACCCACAGAATCTCCTCGTTCGTCGCGAGCAAGCTCTCCTGCGATGCCTGCGTCCAAAGATCTCCTTCAACTGATAAAGTGGATGGAAACTTGTCGACGCCAGGACGATATTGCAAGGAGAGAAGAGGAAGAAATTCGGTACAGACAGTCTGAAAAACGGCGCCATGAAGAGGAACAACGACGCAGAGAACTAGAAGACATACGTAGAAGTGAGGATGATCTGAGAAGAAGAGAGGATCAAGCCAGATTTGAAGTCTTGATTTCTCTGTTAGCCTCCCCACAACGATCTACCGTACAAGATTCGTCTGCTACTACTAATGTTGATACTCCGCAGGTCCGAGCGACTCAGAAACAAAAGGTCCGCTCAAGATGAAACTATGAGCGTATAAGGGGAAGGGAGGTGTATGATATGGACACAAAGTAGTACCTTAAGCTGTGTATTATTATATTACTCTTTTACTCTATTAATTATGTATAGTAAGTATTACAGAACATGTATTAATTCTATGTAATATTCCCATTTATTTTGCACCATGTTATGGATATAAATTATCATATTTATACTTTATGTATTCAGCTTGTGAATGCTGGCATCTGTACATGCAGCACACAGTAATACATAGAGAGAGTGAAGACAGCCAGTCCTTGTGGTGCGGAAGCGAGCTTCTTGGTCCCCTTGTATATATATATCTCCCGTACGAGAATAAGAACCTACTTTTAAGAGAACAAGTGTTTGTGTATACCTTCAGTAGTATAGAACATTTTGGAGGTATCAAGACGAACACAGAAATAGTGTCAGTTTCTTTTAATTTACAAGCAAGGCCAGACATGCACACACACACTCACACTGTCCTTTTTGGCAGACAGGTTTTAGCATAGTATCCAGTATAGACTAGTAATTTTTTGTAAGATTCTTTCATGTGCATTCTTGATAAAATCTGATAAGACACGTTCAGAATATTTGGTGCGATTTAACATTTTTCGTCGTTGTATTTTTCGGGTCCTTTTGAATTCGTTTTTTTTTTTTTATTTATTTATTTTTCTCTCGGTCAGTTCGTTATAAGGATCAAGGCGGATGTATACACAGGTGAAGGACACAAGCAGAGTGGGTGGGTGTTCGCTGACCCTCCTTATCTTCCCATGTGTGTGTCGGTCGATGGGTTGAGGAGGGGGCAGGAAGGGCACTGAATGACTACGACCTTAAACACAGGACATAATAACTCGTGACTTGAATAATCCTCTGGTCTTCCCACTGCAATACAAAATGGAGGCGGTCCTCTCTCTCTCTCTCTCTCCTCACCCTGTCCTCTCTTTTCCACTCTGTACACACCTAGGTCCTCCTCCTCCACACCTAGATCCTCCTCCTCCACACCTAGATCCTCCTCCTCCACACCTAGGTCCTCCTCTACACCTAGGTCCTCCTCCTCCACACCTAGATCCTCCTCCTCCACACTTAGGTCCTCCTCCACACCTAGATCCTCCTCCTCCACACCTAGATCCTCCTCCTCCACACCTAGGTCCTCCTCCACACCTAGGTCCTCCCTCTGCACAGTGTTATTGGTGTACCTCCCAGGTGTCTGAAGGTATAGATATTAATCAGTAAAATCATCTTGTAGGTAAACAATACAGCGATACAGTTCATCATGTATAGAGGCAATGCAGATATACAATCGTCTTCGTCGGGTTAAGTTGTCGTTTCTCCTTAGTTATAAACGGATCAGTGTGTGCTCCCCCTCACGGTATTCTTGTCGTTGTCACCTGTTGTTATTTACCCTCTAGTAAACACCCCTCCCCCCCCATCCCTAACCTTGAATACCGAAACTTCACCTGTATCCGAAATACAGTATTATCCGGTTCATGCTACCATATGCAGTTTTTACTTCATCTTGACATTAAAAAAAAAATAGTTCGATAGTATTAAGTTATAGTGTCTATTTTGAGTGAATATAAATAGGAGCTAGTAGAAGATTTAATAGCAGATATTTTAATCGCACAGGTGAAGAGGAAGAGGGGGGGTGGGGAAATTGAGACCGGGTTGTACGTCTGTCTACCTAGTCATCGTCCTCATGCACCTGCCTCCTCTCTCACACACTGATGTTTTGAATTGGTGAAGGTTAGGTTAGGTTAAGTTAAATTAGATTAGATTAGGTTAGATGATCTGGGATACACATTTAAACTATGGGTACTCCACAAACAGTATACATAGATAAGTATGGCTGTTCAAGGACTGACAAATAAACAGAGAAACAAACATTAATATTTAAGTCTAGGTGGCAGGTGAATAGTCTTGTCGAGGGAGAGAGATGGGTGCGAATTTTATAGCTTAACGCAGTGTGTGGGTACGAATTTTATAGCTTAACGCAGTGTGTGTGTGTGAGAAGAAGTGAACTCGCCCCTCGGATTCGCCTTGAGGAAAAACAAACTGGATAATTTTTTTTTGTGTGTGTGAGCAGGATCACGTTGCGGTGAGAAGGGAGGGGGGGGGTGTAGATGTTGAGGGTAAGGACAGAGAACGTGTTGCTGGGACTCGTTCTGTCGTAGTAGAGAGACAGACAGACAGACAGAGAGTATATGATGTATGTTTCATCAAGTCAATAGCTACGTGGAATCCAGTTATAACTGAGGATTTTCGTCAGATTCAATGTAAACTGAATTTAACGGCCTTAATGTTTATGATGAATTGTTTCTGACCAAAGAATAGTCTTCCTTACCTTACAAAACCCTTGTCTCTTTAATCCAGGTGGAAGGTCATGCTATTAAGAAGTTACTTATGGTAATGACAAGTTGATAATCATCTCTGTTTAATGCGACATGAACGTTCACTACTTCCCATACCCTCCCTAAGCTCCCTTCTCACTCCCCATGCTCCCTTCTTACTCCCCATGCTCCCTTCTTACCCCCATGCTCCCTTCCTACCACCATGCTCCCTTCTTACCCATCCATGTTCCCTTCCTACCCCCATGCTCCCTTCTTACCCCCATGCTCCCTTCTACTACCATGCTCCCTTCTTATCCCCCTCTAATCTTTTCTATGGTGTGACATCTTCATAAATGTAACCACGAAAGTCATCAAGATTACGATTATATTTTAAATGTAATCGATTATAATTATCCCGTGTCTGCTTAGGAGTGTCAGGGGGGTGGGGGAGTGCTAGAGGGGGAGGAGTGGGATTGAGGGAGTGCTGGGGGGGGAGGGGTCGTTGGAGCGTAGTTTATCATACAGCCATGTGAGGGAAGACAGTGGGTGGGGAGGGGGTGTTCAGTGGTAGCCTAGGTTTTGTATCTTAATCTGACCACCACCACGTCTCCCTCCGTCAGTGGTAAACCTGACTGTATCTATCTGTATGTCTGTGTGTGTCTGTCTGTCACACCGTCTCGTGAATAAATCTTAAGATATCTTGTTTTTACGTTCTTATTTATCTTAATGTTTACAGACTCATTCATTCATGCACTCACTCACTGACGCGCTCACTCATGCACTTACTCACTTACATGCACTCACTCACTCTCATGCACTCACTCACTTACATGCACTCTATCACTCACTTACATGCACTCACTCACTCGCATGCTCTCACTCACTCTCGTGCACTCACTCACTCTCGTGCACTCACTCACTTGATTATTTTACACAGTTCGCAGAGCAGGTGATGACGGTACTAAGGAACCATTCACTGACGGAGAAGTTCTTCGTGGAAGTGGTGAGGCCCGTACACACCGCCCCCCTGGAGGAGGAACCCGTCCCTGTTCTGGCCCTCGATCCCAAGGACCCCAGGATCACCCAGGCCAAGGAGGAGGCTAGTCTCGACCCCTACGAGGTAACTTCTATTCTCTCTAGCTGGTGGGGCTACTGGGTGTGTGGGGAGGAGGGTCCATAAGTGTTAGGTATGTGTTCCAGGGTGGGTCTTGTAACACTCATCAATAAAAAGGTATGAGAGAAAATCCAGACAAAAACTGGCTTGGGCTCCGTGTGGCAGATAATGGACACACACACACACACACGTGTCACCAAACATCCTGTGCAGTCATCCGCTCTGGGCAGCGCATATTTTAGGAGCTTCAGAAAGACCCCAATGCCGGAATAGGCATTAGAGACGACCAATTTGGGAATCCAATGGCTACACCAGCAGAAGAAGGCAATGTACGATGGTCAGGCTATACTAAGGCGAAACTCTGATGCTATCGATAGTCCATTGCAACTCTCCCTCTCACCAGTTGTTGCAATTTTCTGCTCCACTGAATCAGGAAAAGCGAGAGTCAAGATGTGTGGTTGCAGCCTTTGCTCCTGCCTCACCACCACATAAATCAACTCTCACTATCGCTGGATGATCGTCATAATCAATCTCGAGGGCCATTGAAGTAATAGTACATGTGTGTGTGTGTGTGCCAATCAATCAATTCCTTGTTCGATTTCAACAGTAACTTTAATGGCAATGCATTTTAACTTCATTTCCTAAATGTATCTCAAGATATCAACACAAGTACGACTGTGGTTGTTACAGGACGCATACGACGACTACCTGGAGATGTTTATGCAGTTCGGTTACGTGTTCCTCTTCTCCTCGGTGTACCCTATGGCCGCGTTCTGGGCCGTCCTCAACAACGTCCTCGAGCTCAAGACAGACGCTTTCAAGTTGTGTCGCGTCTACCAGAGGCCCCGGGTTAAGAAGGTCGGCTCCATCGGTGTGTGGCAGGTCAGTGATAGATGATGATGGTCTGTCTGTCTGGCAGGTCAACGTTAATAGTGTATTGCTAGTCTGTCACTGTCAGTATGTCTGTAAAAGTCAGCATAGTAGTCAATTATACAAATTGCATTATATATAAGAGTTGTTGTTATTCGGAGCAGTCAAATGAGTCATAAGTCATACCTGCAAGTCAGTTATTCTCCCGAAGTCAGGTAATTACAATTCTCCCAGCCAGATAACCGTATAGTCAATTATTGTCACGGGCTAGAGAGTTATTCATCTCCCAGGTCTCGTAAGGAACACACAACGTCACCTTGTAAACAGTCAGGTTAGGTGCCCAGATGCCGTAAATTCGTGGAAGCCTATAAATCGTCTTCCTGAACATCGGTGCTGTGTACTGTAATCACGAGAGAGCGAGTGAGTTATGGCCTGGTGGATTGATTACTTCTACCAAAGTTAATTGGCTCTTGAAGTTGGATCCACACAGTTATAAAGTGAGAATTAAAAGATGTTTTTTTTAAGAAGGGGTGCGAGGTAATCGCTGTTTTCCGGTTGTTGAAGATGAAGCGTTTGTGGCAGTGAATATTGGCTTTTTAATTTCTGGTAGAGTATGTGGTATGTTATATTCCTTTGGTAGTGTTTGATTTATATATTAAACTTATGGGTCATTTATACGAGTGAAGCTTTGAGGCGCTGGGACGATCTCCAAAGCTTATGATCTCCCCACGAATAGACGGATAGATGGAGAGGTATTTCTTCAGTAAAATCGTCATACAAGTTTACAGTTGGTTCAGCATGTATACAGACTATACAAGTATACAGTATACACTACATAGACCGTGCAGGTACTGTATACAATTACTAATGCACCTCGACGACGGGTATTACAAACATTGGTAAACAGTGATGCAGTAACTCGCTTAGGTCTGATACGATTCCGAACAGGAGTGTAAACAAACTGATGTTCTTATCTCTACGGTTAAAATAACTTGTTGTCACCCATTACAGGGAGCGTTTGAGCTGTTGGGGGCAGTAGCTGTGATGACCAACTGTGCTCTGCTGTGCCTCTCGCCCCGGGTACGCCCTCTCGCCCCCCAGGCCTCCCCCGTCGAGTGGGTCCTCCTTTTCGTCCTGCTGGAGCATCTTATCCTCGTTGCCAAGATGGGCCTCATGTGGCTTGTGCCCAACCAGCCTTTGTGGGTGCGTCAGGCTCTGGAGAAGATCACCTACCAGTCCAAGTTGGCTCTGAAAAATGAGGTAAGGACGGGGTTGTAAGTTTCTCCGGATCAGACTGGGAGAAACTCGGGTTAATGTTTATTATATATAGTAAATTAGGGAAAGTTAAAGGAGAGAGATAATTGAACCTAATTTATGTTATAAGAATTCTGACAGATAACGTTTGATTATATCTCGTACTCTTGTTCTAGCTATTTACCGTGGAGGCCGGCACCCATATACTGTATGTATTCTCGCAAAGACACAGATTAATACGTATGTACAAAAGAGACCGCCCTCTCCACTTAATCGCCGCCACCCCAAGACACTGCAATTACTCACCCTACACACACCAGCTTAAACTAAACTCGCCAGCTGTTCTTTCACCACCCAATCACCAAGTCTTTTCCAGTGTACGTGTGCAGGATGCAGTGAACAGATCACACAATATTGTGGGCAGAGTTTTAGAGTCATGGTACTGAGACCTAAGTGCCACAGCAGGGTGACTCACCTGGAGAGATGGTGGCGTAACTAACTATGTAGCAATAATGCGTGAAAGGAGTTGTAAACACAGGTCCACATACTGTCTTCCTGTGAGAACATGTTATGTCCCCGTTGTGGGTGTGTTGTACATGCTTGGATGGAGTGTACTTTACGTGTGCTGGCTGCAGTGTACGTGTGGTGAGGCCAGTGTACAAGTGCTATTGGCAGTGTACAAGTGCTTAGGGCAGTGTACGTGTGCTGGGGGCAGTGTACAAGTGCTGGGAAAGTGTACAAGTGTTAGGGCCAGTGTACTGGGGACAGTGTACAAGTACTAGGGACAGTGTACGTGTGCTGCGTGCTGTGTACAAGTGCTAGGGGCAGTGTACATGCACTGAGAACAGTGTATGTGTGGTGTAGGTGGGGTGGGGGCAGTGTGCGAGTGCTGGGGGAAGTGTTCGTGTGCTGGGGACTGTATGTATGATGACTGTATTGAAAGTGTACTGGGGGCAGTGAACAAGTGCTAGGAGCAGTGTACAAGTGCTGGGGTCAGTGTACGATTGCCGGGGGCAGTATATGTGTACTGAGGGCAGTGTACGTGTGCTAACTATAGTGTCCATGTGCAGTGTGTGTGTGCTGGGGCAGTGTACGAGTACTGGGGCAGTGTACAGATGCTGGGGACAGCACGTGTGCCAGTGTACGTGAACTGGGGCAGTGTACAAGTGCTGGGGGCAGTGTACGTGTGCTTGTAGTGTCCATGTGCATGGTATGCGTGCTGGGGGCAGTGTTGTGTGCAGTGTACGTGTGGGGCAGTGTGTGCGTGTAAGCAGTGTAGTGTACTGGGGGCAGTGTACTGCCAGGGGCAGTGTGCGTGCTGGGGGTAGTGTGCGTGTACTAGGGGGCAGTGTACGAGTGTTGGGAGTAGTGTGCGTGTGCTAGGGCAGTGTGCATGTTGGGAGTAGTGTACAGAGTGCTGGGGCAGTGTACGTGTGCTGGGGGAGGCAGTGTTGGGGCAGTGTACGTGCTGGGGTGTGTGGAGTGCTGGGGTAGTGTAAATGCTGGGGGGGGCAGTGCAGTGTTGTTGCACAGTGCTGGGGGGCAGTGTACGTGTGCTGGGGGCAGTGTACATATGCTGGGTCCAGTTTATGAGTTCTGGGGGCAGTGTTCTGGAGTGTACGTGTACTGGGGACAGTGTGCGAGTGTTGGGGGCAGTGTAGGTGTGCTGAAGGCAGTGTACGAGTGCTGGGTCCAGTTTGCGTGCTGGGTCCGGTTTATGAGGCCTGGGGGCAGTGTACGTGTACTGGGAGCAGTGTACGTGTGGGGGCAGTGTACGTGTACTGGGGCAGTGTACGTGTGTGGGGGTAGGTGTGCGTGTGCTGGGGGCAGTGTGCAGTGTTGAGAGTAGTGCAGGTGCTGTTGGCGGTGTGCGTGTGCTGGGGGTAGTGTGCTGGGGTAGTGTGTGTGCTGGGGGCAGTGTACATGGGTCCAGTTTATGAGTTCTGGGGCAGTGTACGTATGGTGGGTCAGTTTAGGTGAGGCAGTGTGCCTGGGGGCAGTGTACGAGTGTTGGGGCAGTGTGCAGTGTTGGGAGTAGTGCGTGGGGGGCAGGTACGTGTGGGGCAGTGTGCAGAGTGTTGGGAGTAGTGTGCGTGTAGGGGCAGTGTGCAGTGTTGGGAGTGGTGCAGTGCTAGTAGGGCAGTGTAGGGGCGGTACATGTGCTGGACGTGTGGGCAGTGTACAACTGGGGGACAGTGTACGTGTGCTGAGTACAGTGTACGAGTGCGGACTGTAGTGCACGAGTGCTGACTGGAGTGCACGAGTGCTGACTGTAGTATACGTATGCTGGTTGCAGTGTACGTGTGCTGGCTGCAGTGTACGTGTTCTGGGTGTTGTGTTCGTGTGCTGGCTGCAGTGTACAGTCACCCAAAAAAGTCCTGTCGCGAACCATGAACCCCGAGATTCAGAGTCTTGAATCCGAAGCATTTATGGACAGAATAATGTATCAGTGTCTACTGCTTCAGGTTCACGAGTTTGAATCGTGCACGAGAGCTGACTGTAGTATACGTATGCTGGTTGCAGTGTACGTGTGCTGGGTGTAGTGTACGTGTGCTGGGTTTAGTGTACGTGTGCTGGGTGTTGTGTACGTGTGCTGGGTTTAGTGTACGTGTTCTGGGTGTTGTGTACGTATGCTGGGTTTAGTGTACGTGTCTCTCTCTTTCTCTAAGGGCTCGTTTACACGATCAGTTGCCATGTACTGTATGGTGGTCGCGCACGCCTCGGATCAGTGGCGAAGTATGGGGTTGAAGCAGGGTACTGACCACTGTTAAGTGGACAGTGTGTTTACACGGAACTGCCACACCGTCGTTACCGGTCAGTGTGTGGTAGACTGCTGGGCAAGAGGTTCATGGCTCCCAGACAGACGAGTCGGCAACGGACGGCCGCACTTTTGTGAATTTTGGCCGCTGGGATGATACTGAAGAAAAAACCCCAAGAAAACCGACTGTTTGGGTGAAAAACTGGTGAGGAAACACAGGACGTGCAACGATACATTCGCCTGACCCCTGAAATGTACAACACACTCTTGGATAAAGTACGTCCACATATTACCAGGACGGATACAAATATGAGGGACTCTATAAGTGGCAGGGACCCACATAGGTGGCCACGCAACCATTAGGCTCCCACACGTAACTGCCCTGGAGGGCTGGTGGTTCAGTGTTGCCGTCTACACGATCATTACCCGAGCACGGCTTCGTTACCATGCTCCGAGACTGATCGTGTAAACGAGCCCTTAGGTGTATTATATGACCACCATACTAACAGCTGCTTGTCTCCCCTCACAGCGCGGCAAGAAGACCAGACGCCACTTGTCTCGACGGTTCAGGAGTGTACATGGGATGCCTCGCTCAGGGTCTCGCTCCAGGGGCACCACACCCGTAGCACAGAACGGCGGAGTACGACATCGCTCACCTCCCCGAGACTACCGAGACTATTAGCTTCCTCTCCTCCAAGCCCCACTCTACTGCTCCACCGCCACCACCACCTGCAGAGTTGGAGGCAATGGAAGCTGCCCCAACAACGACTTCAGCTTGATGTGGTGGCGGCACGAGCACACAGTCTCTTTGTCTACTACATTCATCCACATAGCGACTTACCCAGTGTAATCTCCTGATGACTAGTGTTTAATTCCTTGACGTAAGATTATCGGGAGATTTGTTGGCTGGAGGAGCGGTGCCGTCAACACTTGTACACAGAGCAAGTTGACTTATAATTCATAACCATGGGAAAGGAAGTTCACCATTAGACTCCCAGCATAGTGCTGTATTGTTGGGTGTCGTATTCATTGTTTAAAAGTGAAGGTTTTAGATTGAATTAAGTTTTAGTTGTGACTGAAGTGCTCTTAACCAGGTGCTAGTTCAGAGTAGACGGAGTTTGACTTGTTCTGTGTACACGGCAGCTGTCTTAACTCGCGGGTCTGTACAACGCATATGTTTACCTCCTCAAATATCCATCCAGTCTTCGGCATAATTCAGAAGCTCACCAGCGCTGTGTTACCCTTGGAGCGTGATATAATAACCCTCTTGTTGATTTAAAGCTGTAAACTTATTAGTGTCAAGAAGTCGACAGGACACACAGGCTCTTCACATGGTATACATATTGTTGTTGTCCAAAGCTTTTTATACGTGGATGTGTCAAGTGTGGGACAAACTTGCCAACTTTCTTATTGCTTCGGCTAATGTAGGTGTTATCTAACCTATTGTAAGGATTCTAAGTTTAAGTCAGTGGTTCTCCCCACAAGACGTAGTTCAGAAGAGGTTACAGGTCTGTCTACAACATACGATATTCATCTAACATCTCCTCTCAATAACCTGAGGAGACGTGTTCTACTGTACTTACCTTTATCTGTATCCTTCAGTAAAAATTAGCAGCGATTAAAGCCTTTCCCCGCCGAGTGTCAGGAGGCTGGCAAGTTTATACACACGTCGTAATTTCAATACTGTTATCGTCCCAGATTTTTTTTTTCTGCGAGAAAAGTGATTAACTTAGCCAGTAGAGACAGTTAACGAGTAATGGCACTAATATCACTATGTAGAGTAGAGAGGCAGTGTGGCTCAGGTGTGTCATGATGGGTTACCGGAGTGTGGAGGTAGAAACTTTGCTGGGAGGGCAGATGAGAGTACCTGTACAGTTAGGGAGATTGAAATTCTTAGAAATTTGGGAGAGTATTGGTAATTGAAGCCCCTTTCGTTACATTATAAAGAGGATGAATTGAATTATGTCAACTGTTAACTAAATTAGGGAAGTAATGAAGGTAGTGAATATCAATTGGAATTGGGAACATAAAGGAAGGTAAATGACTCACCTGTGTAGAAATTGGTGTGCAGTTTTAAAGCTGAGAGCTGAAAAGAGATTTAAATATTAACCCTTTCACCGCGCGTCACGCACTTGCCATTTTATTCTGGCTACCGCCAGACGGTTTTATTCAGCTTCGAGTAACCTCTCACTGTGAAAGGGTTAAAAGACGAGACTTAGGCCGAGACCTTTTATTTAAGGAGTTTGAACACGTGTGACAGTGACCCAGGCGTAATGCGAGTGAGCCAGGTGCAGTACGAGTGACCCAGTTAGTGTGTGAGTGAGCGAGCCAGGTGCAGTACGAGTTAGCCAGGTGCAGTACGGGTGACCCGGGTACTGTATGGTCGACCCGGGTGCTGGACGAGTGACTTAGGCGACACAATGGGCCAGGCTAGCTGTACAGTACTAGTGTCGACAGCACGGGCAGGAACTCTCAAGGGTTTGACAGAAGGCATTAGGTCGTGTTCCGTTGTCAGTTATTGTGCCTCTCGATACAAGTTCATTCTGGGAGAAAACCTGACTTGGGTAATCTTCACGGATGTTGAGACGTAACGACAGGGTTTTTTTTTTTTAAGTGTGGACTTTTAAATGCAAATATTAACTATTTATTTGTATATTTATTGTACCAGATGTCATAATTGTTTATAAAATGATGTCATAATTGTTTATAAAATGCTTGTGGTGGTTTTTTGTCAATTACTATTTCGGTTTTTTCTTTTGTGCTGTGACACAATTTGAGTTATGTTTACCAGTGATGATACTGATATTTAACAGCTAAGGTCGAGAGAACGGAATTCACTTAAGCCGTCTCTGAAATTCTAGTCAGTCAGTGCTTTGGGTTCAGATTCTCAGTGTTCGTACGTTGTAGCTTTCCACATACAGGTAAATGCTCTCAAATTCAGAATACTTCTTTAAATTGCTCACTTAAGCTACTACTTGAAGACGGAGAAATAAAATGGCGGTGAAGTAGCGTTTGAGTCTACATTATAGCCGTTAGGTGGTAAATGTACGGACCTTGTGAATCTGAACACGGTAGTTCATTACCGTATCCCCATTTTTTTTTATAAGTTTGCTGGAGTATCATAGTCTAGTCCCCCCAAGTAGCAGCTGTGATAGTAGTTTTGAATATTTTTTATTTTACGTGTGAAAGATGTTCTGGCCATCACGTGACTTGCGTATGTATAGTGACGTTATCGCACAATAACACAAATGTTAATTTGAAGTCTGTACATTTTTTTTGTGATGTACACTTGTGGTTAAAATTCCCTCGACATTTGGCAGTACAGTATCTTGGCATCTACTTGTGGGTCATATGTTAATTTAGTTTACAGTTGATGAACGTAGATACCAAACAGTGTATACCCTGAAAAAGTGTCCAGGGATTTTTTCTGTAACTGTACAAATTCCCTTGTATAAAAACTCACTGAGCAGGTATGGAGTGAGGACTGAATGTAAATGTGTAATAATAAATACAACTAATGTAATATTATTTAGGGCTGATAAACTCTGAAATTTATGCTGAATAAAGTACATGGGAAGATTAGAATGATTTCGCTTGGCAATACCTTGAGGTAGGGCTGGATTTATATACTTGGCAATATCTAGAGGGCAGTCTCAGTATGGCTGGCGATATGTAAAGAGCAGCCCTAATATAGCTAGAGATTTTTGTAGGGCATCATTCGTAGGACAATTTACTGTACAGTATACACGTGGTGATAATTTATTGAGGTTTTAAACATGGCTGATATTATATGGGAATTGGGGGGTTTAAACGTGCCCGACATGATCTAGGGCGGTCTCAAACATGTCTGACATTATATAAGGCGGTCTTAATAGTTATAGGTTTCAGCTCTGCTCAAGACTCTAGAGCGTTTTTTCTCAGTTGAGAAAAGATGCCCTGCCCCCTCCTCAAGAGTTACAGCTGATGATTGGCGGTTGCAGTAATGGCTAGTGCTACTTGTGAACAGGGCTGTGCCCTTCTGAGGGCCAAGTAAGAAATCTTGAAATTAAAGGAAGTGATAGCGAGGATGAAGGAAGAAACGAGACAAGGAAAGCCCGTGTCTGACGAAAACTTAGGCGAATGGAAGGTCGTGAGGGACGACTAAACTGGTGGTGAAAAAAAACACCAAGGATACAACGACAACAGCAGCTAAGTGCACCAACTCTTTCATTCATTTGATAGACGAATTGGACGTTAGTATAGTCAGAGACAAGGCTGACGAGGAAGGTACGAAAACCTTAATTGTTGGCGCTTCCCAGGTACGGTACCTGGACTGAGCTTTTTGTGGTAAAAATAAAAATGGGATGAGGGTGTGTTTGCCAGGAGCTGGGGTGGGGGATATAGTTGACAGGATGGACAATATCTTGTCTGGTAATGGGAACAAACCCATTATCTGCCTCCGTGCAGGAAGCAATGATATTGGCCGGTGTAGGAGAGAGGAGCTTCTTGATAAGTTCAAGACAGCTATAAAACGTATTAGGTCGAAGGGAGGGATCGCTATCATACTGTAAGTGGTGTCCTGCCTAGAAAGCTAGAGAGAGCGTTGGCAATGAATGGTTGTCAAGGGTAGTTGGAAAGTTATTTAGCTAAATTATATAAAGATACATAAATTATTTCAAACAGGAGCACGTAGGAAGTTTATTAGATATCTTATACATGAATTAACTGCTAAACTCTGGGAACAAATTTACGCTTTCGGAGGACGCATATAATATATATTTATTTATTTTTCCTACAATAAGGCATACTAAGACAACTTACGTATCGGTAAAACTACATTATTCAAAAACTAACATTTTAAAAGATCAGAATCACTGAAAAATTACACGGCCCCTGAAAATTGGTGGGCGAGTGTGACAGACTTGGCCGCTCAAGCGAACAGCCGTCAGCAGAGGCGGGAAATATAACAATTTCATATACAATACAGTTCTATTATACAATACAGTTCTATTATACAATACAGTTGTATTATACAATACGTTCCTATTATACAATAGTTCTACTATACAATACAGTTCTATTATACAATAGTTCTATTATCTATGACAATACTGTATTGGAAAACAACTTCGGTCTACAAGCTGAAGAATCGTAAATTGAACACTGAACACATCACACCGGTGCCCCATTAAACCAAAGAAAGATCGTGTCAGCCCCATTAAACCAAAGAAAGATCGTGTCAGCCCCATTAAACCAAAGAAAGATCGTGTCAGCCCCATTAAACCAAAGAAAGATCGTGTCAGCCCCATTAAACCAAAGGAAGGTCGTGTCAGCCCCATTAAACCAAGGGAAGATAGTGTCAGCTCCATTAAACCAAGGGAAGATAGTGTCAGCCCCATTAAACCAAGGGAAGATAGTGTCAGCCCCATTAAACCAAGGGAAGATAGTGTCAGCCCTATTACGTGTATCAGCCATAGTTTATCTATTCGCAGAACAAATCCTTCAGTTTAGAGACCAGATACATTAACAAATTACATAAATATGATAACATAAGTTAATGTTTTCCATAGAGGGTGTGTGCCCTCCCTCTCAAGAGTTACAGGACAGCCGTAAACAATTACATAACATATTGTACATGAAACCACAACAATAATTCGTCTGTTATGACCTAAAATGATATCGGCTTAACCTGTATTTACAAAAAGATTACTTTAATTACGTATTCAAGAAAACTCCTTAAACATAATAATAATAAGCCGACATCAATTACGACCAAACAGGTCAGCGTTAGTCTATACCACATCAAAGAATTGGTTTTCTTTTGAAATACTTTTAAACTCATAATCTAGCACTTGTTTTCCTAAAGTAGATGTTAATTGCTGAAGAAGTATTAAAATAAAATAATAGTTACAACACTTTTACTCAGGAAACTAATATTCTGAATCCCTATTTGATAAAATACTAAAAATAGGCAACAGGGAATTTCTTCAAATTTCTGAAATCCTGGAACAACCGCGGTGACGCCCAAAGTGAAGCCAGGATTTGAGCACAAAATCTCAAAGTTTTTGCCACTGGGAGCACACTAAAGGTCTTTAGTGGCCGAGAAGTAAGTAACGCCCACAATGAAGCTCTTTTTTTTTGGCAGGAGCCTCTGTGTCCCAACATAGAGCTGGTTAATAATTCAGACTGGCAGTGACAGACCCAGGGAAGGGGGGGGGGGGACATGGACCACTACTAAATTCTAATGAATTTTAACGAGATCTCAAGGACTTGATACAACAATTCTTTAACGGGTTACAGGAGGCTCCCACAAACCTGACCAATACAACAAGTCCACGTTTCATACTCAGGGTTTTAACGAAACTAGAATTATGAAAGGTGTTTAGTAGCACAGGGAAAGTCTCTTGATGAAACTAAAGTCTGCACATTTTGACAATTTCCTTTTAACGTGACAAAGGAGGGTTCGCTCTCAAAAACTTATCACAGCACAAGAAGGGAGGGAGTGAGAACCCAAAGGAATCACACCACTGACAAGTCATTCTGAGATCATTTAGGTCCATTAATCTAAAACTAATACAAGTTTCAAGTGGTCTTTCTGGTTTAAGTGGGATGTCTCACACGAAACCAGTTCTTAAACCACTTTTTTCAAGTCAGGGAACCACAGAACTCTTAATACGTTGTCGTGAAGATCCAAGAACAACGGAAAAAAACTAGCTTACTGTTTCAATAACTTGAACTCTGTCGTCTGCTTCTTCCTTTACTTGTCATCGCGCCCGACGAATGCGTCCTAGTAAAATAAAAAAGTTAAAAATAAACTTTACAGCAACACTGCAACATTCATAATGCAATAAAAAAAATTATATTTTTTTAAATTTAAATTATTTGTTAAGATCACTAAATGGACAACCATGAGTGATAAATATAACAAAACCTTCACAATTTCTTAATACAACATACAATCCTCTCCCAAGCTTTATACAATCCTCTTTTTTGCTTTATCACTGTCCACGTCATCATTCTACCATTCACTGCCTGTCTGGCTCGGCCTTTCCACCAGTCACACACCTCAACAGACCCCCCCCCCTTCTATGTGAGCCAGCAAAAATAGCTACATTAACACCCACACCGTCACTGGGCAACTCCACTGATCTTAACTCGGCATAAAATGCCCCATTAGCAGTCCGCTCCTTCAATTCGCCCCCCTTACTCAGAACAAACACTTCCTATTCTTGCACACTTATAAACACGTTACACAATGCAATCTGTGCTACAAAATACAATGTACAGTACTCTATTATAACCTTGCGTCCTTAACAAGCTTCCTATCAGATTCCCAGGCCTGTATGAAATCAATCTGGGTTTTTGTATCTGACTTAGATAATCGACTTTCTCACCCCTTTCCAAAGTCTTTTCTACCATGCACACTTTCATGACCTTTTTCACCAGACTCTTGCCTCCCACACACGGACAACAACAACTACTGTACTCACCAAGGTCTTCCAGAATCAGGCACAAGGCAGCCGACAACTGCCAACAGTACTTCATCTGCCAAGGAAATAATTTCAACCAATTACTATAAATTATCCTTCAGAATAATTGATGTTACATTTTCAAATACAGTACAACAAAATTATAACCCAAATTATGCAGAAAATATTCCTTAAGAGTATGACAGTACTAAGATGTACTTCGCTTTTAAAAGAGTTAATTCAGAGGGTAAAAGTAAACACGATAATATTCTAAGTGTGTGTCTGAGTGAGTGAGTGGGTGAGTGAGTGAGTGTGTGTGTTTTGTGTGTGTGACTGAGTGAGTGAGTGTGTGTGTGTGTACAGGAGAAGAAATTAAATATGTCTATGGAGCCAAAAATCAATCAAGTGCTCTTAACGTTTAAGGTGATATATAGATAATGTTTTAGAGTGGCCCTTTAGGTTCTTAAGTGATTTAACACTGAACTTAAGGCCCACTGATACACCTCACCCCCACCCACCCACCAAAACAACATCTTTACCTACCAAGAACCTCTTTAGTACAACATAACCTGTCCACAATAACCAACACCACCTTTCAAATTAACAGTAAAATCACTCCTTAAAAACAAAAATCAAACTACAACAACCAGAGGTATAATTAATGAATCCCCTGATATAATTAATCACCCTAACTCTACCTTTGGGGGTTTAGCCTTTACAAAAACAATTTTATATTATTCACAAAAAATTAGTAAAAAAATCCATATGAGAAATTTCCCAATACACTAAAGTAACACAATATTATACAATTATTGACTAGAAGTCTCCCACGTACAGTGAATATATTACTCGTGGAATACTGTACGACTCAACTTTCCTTTAATAGTAATACTTAGGCAATATTATTTAATGTACTGTATTCTACTATGAAATTTATCCTTACAATATTAACGCGTATATTTTACCCCTTACAGTACATTAATTCCTTGCCATAATCGAGACCTTGAGACCTCCACCTTACGCCCTTACCTTGGAGTGCGGGTGGTCGTGGTAAGCTGTGGTCTCCATGCTAACCATCCTGGCCATCACCTGACTGGCCACACGTTGAGGGCACACCATGGTCGCCCTGTTGAGGTAAACCCATTAACAACACGTTCAGACTCTATAAAAGGGTGCCAGTCCTAATGGGTCTCAATATGGTTAGATTAGGTTTAGATCCTATCGCGTGACCTACAGTACAGTCTACAAGGCTAAGACTCATCACCTGAACCTTAATGACAACAGTAGTAATGGAATACAGTACCCAGAACTATCCATTAAACTGTCAGTAATACAAAGACTAATGGAACTAATGAAATAACCTATATAATACACTAGTAATACAGGGTGTCTACTGGACAGACAAAACAATATGTATATACTATTGGGAACTTAGATATAAATTATATTAAGAATTTGATGACCTTTTTGCGACCCTTCCTAAACCTAGTGAACATAGGCAAAAACCTTAACCCCCACCACCCGTACATATTTTTCTCCTCGGATTTGTGAGATTCACGTGCGTCGACTTGGAAAAAAGCTGGAAATTTGGCCTCCCTTAAAAAAGAAAAATCGTACTCCTGATCCACCCCCATGACTCATGATGAATGTTGAGTAATCCACTTACTTAAGTCACTAAATTATAATAATTCATCTCTAAATACTCATTGCAGAATTAGTAGGTATAACCTGTAATATTTGATCCCTAACATGAAATACGACAGGTACACAAACAATTCAGTTATTAGAGTGGACTGTTTACTGCAATTTGTTCCTAAAAGTTCAATTATTTACCTATTATATAGTACATCATTAATTTATGGTAAGATTGCTGTCAAATTAAGACGCTTTTGAAGTTGAACGGAATTAACATAAAATTCCACGTTTATTTGTAAAAATCCCTGGCTTTTCCAGACCAGTAGACACCCTGTTAGAACAAATAACAATAGTGACAACAAAAATAATAATAATAATAATAATTAATAATAAACCAAACACCGTGAAAACCACAACTATATCATGGCAACCACAATTACGCCACGACAACCACACCCTACCACTAACACTCAACCACAAAGATGGCGAGGCAGATAAAGACCAGAGTGCATAGTATACAGTATGTGTTGAGGTATTTTGCCTGGTTGGGTTAGGGATGAAGAGGGGGGAGGAGGAGGGGGAAGGAAAGGTGGAAGGGGAAAGGGAGGAGGGGAGGAGGGGTAAAGAGGAGGGGAAGAGGGTGGATGAAGAGGAGGAGAAGAGGGGGAAGAGGAGGAAGGGGAAGAGGTGGGTGAAGAGGGGGAGAAGAGGGTGGATGAAGAGGTGGGGAAGAGAAGAGGGTGGGTGAAGAGGAGAGGGGAAGAGGGTGGGTGAAGAGGAGGGGGGAAGAGGGTGGGTGAATAAGAGGGTAGGTGAAGAGGGGGGGGGAAGAAGAGGGAGGATGACGAGGAAGGAAGAGTGTGAATGAAGAGGAGTGAAGAGGGTGGATGAAGAGGAAGGAAGAGTATACAGGTATATGAAGGAGGGAGGGAGGAGAGTGCCACCCGAGTAAAATGGAATGGATATTAATGGACAACTGAAATATCCCCAAAGCACGTACGCGCGCGCACACATATCTGAGAGGAAATTACTATACCACGTCAGGCTTCTCATAACACCATCTGCGAGGGAGTTACTATACCACGTCAGGCCCCTCATAACACCATCTGTGAGGGAGTTACTACACCACGTCAGGCCCCTCATAACACCATCTGTGAGGGAGTTACTACACCACGTCAGGCCCCTCATAACACCATCTGTGAGGGAGTTACTACACCACGTCAGGCCCCTCATAACACCATCTGTGAGGGAGTTACTACACCACGTCAGGCCCCTCATAACACCATCTGTGAGGGAGTTACTACACCACGTCAGGCCCCTCATAACACCATCTGTGAGGGAGTTACACCACGTCAGACCCCTCACCATCTGTGAGGTTATTACACCACGTCAGGCCCCTCATAACACCATCTGTGAGGGAGTTACTACACCACGTCAGGCCCCTCATAACACCATCTGTGAGGGAGTTACTACACCACGTCAGGCCCCTCATAACACCATCTGTGAGGGAGTTACTACACCACGTGATGCCCCTCATAACACCATCTGTGAGGGAATTACTACACCACGTGATGCCCCTCATAACACCATCTGTGAGGGAGTTACTACACTATGTGTCTGCTGTTCAACACCTCAGCGTACATGATCTACGTGACCTCCACTGTAAACATTAATCTGTATGTTCACTGTATGTTCACTTTACCTTTCTCCAATGAAGGCTTTTGTTAAACCACCAATGTATGTAATAAGTCATTAATGTCCAATGAATATTTTCAGCCTTCGGGCAGCAGAAATTTTTCAATAAACCGTTAATAATTATTATTATACATACATACACACACGTCAGATACACAGAAAAACACACAAGCCGCCACTAAATCGAGCTTCCTACACATACCACTGACGACTCCTTGTGAAGTCTTATATCGCCATTCATTTACATTGTGTGTGTGTGTGTGTGAGTGTATATCTCTTTTCAGCAGCTGGTACGAGGTGTGATCCAAAAGTTCCCGGACTGGCTTCATATAATCTATATTTTTCAAGATATTACAGTGAAACTTTAGTCACCCTTAAAATATTCTTCAGAGGCCTCAATGCAGCACTGAATCCCCTCCTCCCACTTGTAGAAGCAGATCTGGAAGTCCTTGTTGGTGAGGCTGGAGAACACCATCTGCCATGTGTCCTGGTTCTCCAATCTATCCATGATCTTCCCCCTGACACACTAAATCGTGCCTACGTGGCTGTACAAGGCAGGGTTATGACACTAAACACACACACTCACACACTATACACACACACTAAACACACACACACTAATCACACACACACTAATCACTTAGAGGAATCAAAGACAATATAGTTAAATGACAACACACATGTTGGTAAACAAGGCAACTTTACCCAAAAACAAACTCAAAATGACAAAAACTTACATAAAACTCCTACAGTACTGCCGCAGGGAGGGGGTGATGGCCTCCCTCAACTGTGGTGCCGGGGTAAGGCAGGGGTTCCTACCCTCCTCTAGGTCCTGCGGTAAGCTGGACCCAGGCACGAAGTAGCGGGCGAACGGGAGATCATGTACACGGGAGCTCTGGCTGGCCATCAACAAAGCCACGTTGTGTACCCTGGAGAGGAATTCAGGACTGGTAATGTAAGCATTCGTGCTGGAGTGGTCAGTGCGGCTCCTGAAGCAACTGTAAGGGGCGTGCTTGGTGCTGTGGGGGACGTGGCGGGTGGTGGTCCACGTCCGGTTATTGTCGTTGTATGGCGTGTGACACGTGTATGGACGACGAACCATATTGGCTGGGTTAGGTATGCTGGGTACATCAGGGTTGTAGTGTGGTCCAGGTTTGTCAGCCAGGATGGAGGAATCTGGTATTTGAGGGCTGTGAGGGGAGCTGAAGTTAGCCTTCGTTTTCAGCTTATGGAGGGGGCTGGAGGTACATGGCGGAGGGAGGGTCGACGCTGAGCTGGGGTTGTGGGGTGGCCTGGTAGTAGAAGGGCTGAAGTTGTGAGCTGAGCTGGTTGTAGGAGGGGGCCTAGAGGTAGGAGGAGGCCTAGAGGTAGGAAGAGGCCTAGAGGTAGGAAGAGGCCTAGAGGTAGGAGGGGCTAGAGGTAGGAGGGGGGCTAGAGGTAGGAGGGTGGCTAGAGGTAGGAGGGCTGAGAGATGACGGACTGGTAGCTGAAGACACAGAGGGTGTCGGCCTGGGTCTGGTGGCTAAGGAAATGAGTGCCGGGGTGCAGGGCAGGTGACGTGGACAGGCTGAGGATAGGACAGGGTAAAGAGGAGGTGGAGAACACGGGACGAGGGTGGAGGAGCAGGTGGATATAGGTGAAGAGTTAGTAGTGGAAAAGGGGTTGATGGTGGTGCAAGAGACAGATGGGGCAGTGGTGATGGTGCTGCTGCTGCCGCCAGGTAACATAATGGAAACGTTACCCACAGAGCAGAGTTCTAGTAGTGTAGAAGTCGTCTCCAATAATCCGGAAGTGAAGGACGTCCCCGATACTCCAATGGTGGTGGAGGGCGATACTGATGTTCCAGAAGACGTGGAAGGCAATACTGATACTCCAGAAGACGTGGAAGGCGATACTGATACTACAGAAGACGTGGAAGGCGATACTGATACTCCAGAAGACGTGGAAGGCGATACTGATACTCCAGAAGACGTGGAGGACGATACTGATACTCCAGAAGACGTGGAAGGCGATACTGATACTCCAGAAGACGTGGAAGGCGATATTGATACTCCAGACGTGGAAGGCGATACTGAAGACGTGGACGATACTGATACTACAGAAGACGTGGAAGGCGATACTGATACTCCAGAAGACGTGGAAGGCGATACTGATACTCCAGAAGACGTGGAAGGCAATACTGATACTCCAGAAGACGTGGAAGGCGATACTGATACTCCAGAAGACGTGGAAGGCGATATTGATACTCCAGAAGACGTGGAAGGTGATACTGATACTCCAGAAGACGTGGAGGACGATACTGATACTACAGAAGACGTGGAGGACGATATTGATACTCCAGAAGACGTGGAAGGTGATACTGATACTCCAGAAGACGTGGAGGACGATACTGATACTCCAGAAGACGTGGAGGACGATACTGATACTACAGAAGACGTGGAGGACGATATTGATACTCCAGAAGACGTGGAGGATGATACTGATACTCCAGAACAAACTGAAGGTGTCTCTGACCTTTCAGAAAACGCCGAGTTTGCTTCTGAAGTGGAGGACCTGAGGCCTCCGTGTAGTGGAGCTAGAGGAGAATCGGGCGCAGACAGAAGTGCAAGCAGATCTTCCTTTATATAAGACACCTCAGTCAAACTACCGCCTTCCTGCTGCTCTTCTACTTTAGAGATCGCTACCAGAATTCTCCCTAAATCAAGCGTGAATTCAGTTTCCCTGTCGGAATAATGACGGGTATTCCCGTGAGCGTTGTGGCGTTCAGAGTACGAAGACCTGGAGGTGTCCGTGTTCTGGCGTCTTACGTTCGGCTCGTAAAAGCGAGCGTCGTTCTCCCACTCCAAGTTGGAATGTTTATAGATATCCGTGTTCTCTTCTGAAGTAGGATGTCTGTAGGTCTGCACGTTCCTGTTCTGCCGTTCTAAAGTGATATGCCCATAGATATGCTGGTTCTGCTCCCTGCTGTGGTTGTAATGTTGCTGCTGTTCCCTACTGTGGCTAAGGGGCGTCCCAATCCTGCAGTGTGATCGCAGGCAGCGGTGTCTGAGTCGGCTCTTCTGGTGTACAACCTCGTTAGGCAAGTCCTCCTCGTCGGGAGGGTTCTCGTCGTCCGTATCTTCACCCGTCGTTAAGTAGTCCATCTTACTGGGTCCACCTCAAGACTACACCAACACGCTCAGGCCCCCTACTGTACAACGGGGCCATCATAAAACAGGAAGGAACCGCCTCAATACAGTAAAGGTGGCTCTCGCACTTCGGCAGAAATGGACTCCACACTGTAAACAGGACATCAGGCTCGCTTGTTCCTCCACAGAAACCTGAAACACAGAGGACACTTTTAAATTCAAACTAATATACGGCCAATGCATTATCCATTAAATCTTAATTAATTCACTTAACTAAGTATTCATTCACTGGTCTAAAGGTCAATTCATTCGCCTACATTAAAAAACCCAATCCACATCTATCCACAACATAACGAATCTACGCACGAAGCCAATTATTATCATCATCCTCAAATGCTTTATGAATTTTGGAAAGCATATATAATAGTTTCATTATTCAACCACCATGTACCGCATGTACCTAAAAACCGTGTGTACCGAATATTTAAATAAAACCGACATGGTCAACTATACAATTCTTGACACGTCAAAAAAGGTGGTGTTGACACGAGTCCAAAATATAGATTAGACTCGGGAAAAAAATGAATTTAAAATACTCTGAAAAACTTTACGAATAATAATAATAATAATAATAATAATAATAATAATAAAATACTTAAGATTAATATTAAGACAAACAAAACTATGCGGAAATAAAAAAATAAACCGAAATAAGAGTAAAGAATTATAGTAAATAATGACAAATATTTACGCTGATAATTAATTGCTTCCCATACGATGTAAACATTATAATAGGCTATACTGTACATAGTAAATAAACATCGTATAATCGTCTTGATGACTATAAATTATAACTTTTTATGGCTTGAACTTCAGGACAATTAGTTCATATACTGAAAGTTTGTCGTTATCCACCTGATCGCCTCTATACAGTATTAAACAGACTAGTTTCAATTTTCGAGAATGAACAAAAACACACAAATTATCGCTATTTCATCATTATCCCTATTTAATTTTAATTATTCAGTTATTATCCTCAATGACAAAAATTATATCTAACTTTCCCGGATTATAATAAGCATACCATTAATTAAAAGACGAAAATACACAAGGATAAATATAACTAATATACGAGAAATATACAACTACAAAAAATTAAGTACAGGTAAATAAGTACCTTCACGTCGATATTACTTAAAGCAATACAAAATGAGTTATAAGTAAATATATATATATATATATATATATATATATATATATATATATATATATATATATATATATATATATATATATATATATATATATATATATATATACTGTATATATTGATATTTGTATAACCTTAAGTGCAGAGCAAAATTTTAATACAAAAATATTACAACTAATACAATAATTATTAATCTCAGCTGCTAATTCTTTGTGGGATAATAATTTTGTTTAGAAAATTAAATTAATTAATTTCGGGAGTAACGAATAATTTTAGTGAACCACATTTCGCCAGTAATATTACAAATAATTCGGCGGTAGTCTTAAATTATTCGGCGGTAGTCTTAACAAATTATTCAACGGTGTCCTAACAAATTATTCGGTGGTAGTCTTAAATAATAATACGGCATTCTTAACAATTAATTCGGCGGTAGTCTTAAATAATTCGGCGGTAGGCTTTGACAAATAATTCGACGGTAGTCTTAACTTATGCGGCAGTTTTAATAATAATTCGGCAACGGTTTTAATAAATAAATTGGGCGGAGTCTTAATCAACAAATAATTGGGCAGCACAAAATATTACAAATCGGCGGCAGTTTTAACGAGGATTAATTTTAGCGCTTAAACTAATATTCCTAAATGGCAGGCAGGTTAAGCGCATAACTCGCTCAACCGCAATAGTTTCAGTGGTTAATTTTCCCTACATGTTTAAGACGGCAAATGTGTTCGGTTTTGTTTTGTAATAACGTTTCGGCGACAAAGTTTTACAAGACTAACTTGCTGTATATTGATAAACCATCAAAACTCTACTCAGAACGTTCTCGCGACAGAATTCTTGGAACAGTCAGAGACCAGGGTATGTGTAGTTAGTGCCAGTGCGTGCTTAGTGAAGCAAGCGTGCGTGCGTGCTTAGTGAAGCGTGCGTGCGTGCTTAGTGAAGCAAAGTGAAGCGTGCGTGCGTGCGTGCGTGCGTGCTTAGTGAAGCAAGCGTGCGTGCGTGCTTAGTGAAGCGTGCGTGCGTGCGTGCTTAGTGAAGCAAGCGTGTGTGCGTGCTTAGTGAAGCGTGCGTGCGTGAAGCAAGCGTGCGTGCGTGCTTAGTGAAGCGTGCGTGAAGCGTGCGTGCGTGCGTGCGTGCTTAGTGAAGCGTGCGTGCGTGCTTAGTGAAGCGTGCGTGCGTGCGTGCGCGTGCGTGCGTGCTTAGTGAAGCGTGCGTGCGTGCGTGCTGTGAAGCGTGCGTGTGCTTAGTGAAGCGTGCGTGCGTGCGTGCTTAGTGAAGCGTGCGTGTGCGTGCGTGAAGCTTAGTGAAGCGTGCGTGCTTAGTGAAGCGTGCGTGAAGCGTGCGTGCTTAGTGAAGCGTGCGTGCGTGCGTGCGTAGTGCGTGCTTAGTGAAGCGTGCGTGTGCTTAGTGAAGCGTGCGTGCGTGCGTTAGTGAAGCGTGCGTGCGTGCTTAGTGCAGCGTGAAGCGTGCGTGTGCTTAGTGAAGCGTGCGTGCGTGCTTAGTGAAGCAAGCGTGCGTGCTTAGTGAAGCGTGCGTGTGCGTGCGTTTAAGCGTGCGTGCGTGCTTAGTGAAGCGTGTGCGTGCGTGAAGCGTGCGTGCATGCTTAGTGAAGCGTGCGTGCGTGCTTAGTGAAGCAAGCATGTGCTTAGTGAAGCGAGCGTGCGTGCTTGCTTGAGTGCGTGCTTGCTCAGTGGAGCGTGCGTGCTTGCTTGCTTAGTGAAGCGAGCGTGCGTGCTTGCTTGCTTAGTGAAGCGAGCGTGCGCTTAGTGAAGGAGCGTGCGTGGCTTAGTGAAGCGAGTGTGCGTGCGTGCGTGCTTCGTGAAGCAAGCGTGCTTGCTTGCTTAGTGAAGCGAGCGTGCGTGCTTGCTTAGTGAAGCGAGCGTGCGTGTGCGCTGCTTAGTGCTTGCTTAGTGAAGCGAGCGTGCGTGCGTGAGTGCTTGCTTAGTGAAGCGAGCGTGTTTAGTGAAGCGTGCGTGTTTGAGTGGAGTGTGAAGTGTGTTAGTGTGCGTAAATGTACGTTTTAGTGCGTGCGTGTGTATATTAGTGTGTATATTAGAGTGTGTGTATTAGTGTGTGTGTATTAGTGTGTGTGTATATTAGAGTGTGTGCGTGTGTATTAGAGTGTGTGTGTATTAGAGAGTGTGTGTGTGTGTGTATTAGAGTGTGTGTGTGTATTTGTGTGTGTGTGTGTGTGTGTGTATATTAGAGTGTGTACTATAGTGTGTGTGTGTGTGTATATTAGAGTGTGTACTATAGTGTGTGTGTGTGTGTGTATTAGAGTGTGTGTGTGTGTATTAGAGTGAGTGTGTGTGTGTATTAGGAGTGTATTAGTGTGTGTGTGTATTAGAGTGTGTGCGTGTGTATTAGTGTGTGTGTGTATAGAGGTGTGTGGTGTGTGTATTGTGTGTGTGTGTGTATTTGTGTGTGTGTGTATATTAGAGTGTGTACTATAGTGTGTGTGTGTGTGTATTAGACTGTGTGTGTGTGTGTATTAGAGTGAGTGTGTGTGTGTATTAGAGTGAGTGTGTGTGTCTGTGTATTAGAGTGTGTGTGTATTAGTGCGCGTGTACAGTATATGAGTGTCAACGTCCCCCAAGGCCGGATTCTCGGACCTACCTCATATGATTATAATTCTCTATGAACACAGACCAAGAAGGCCAATATGATCCTCGCCACAAAGTTGTTTTTAACCAGAAAAAAAAATTAAAAGAATAATTTAGCGCTGAAATAGACCAAGTCCGATACCGCCTAATGACCGATAACTTGCTACACATGCTTTTACATAAGTGAACATGTGGGGGGGAGGGGGGGTGAGGTTTGTGGGATGTGCAAACCGTTTGCTGTTGGCGCAAAATCAAGGGTTATGAAAAAAGATGCTTGCACAAATACAACGGAGCGTTGTTCAGCTTTCAACAGCAGCAGTAACGGCAACATCATTTGACAAAGAATGATTTTAATAATTATGTCAATTAGATTATAGCATACCTATATCAGTGAAATTATCCTTTTGCACAATTAAAAACAAAGCGACATTTCATTTACACATTTCCGATTTTTCTCGTCATTCTTATCTCCATTACTGGGACAATAATTAACAATAATCATCATTAAGTAAAAATTATGACGGATTTTAATTAAAATAGCTAGATAAGTATATTATGGCCCATATAAAACACTAACCAACACAGCGGAGAACTTTGCTCTTGAAATCCATGAATGTACCAAGCCTTGTGCGATTACAACTCTACTGTACAATGTGGCGGGAAAACGCAGTTCAGGTTTGTCTGTAGAAACAGTCCGGACAAAGGCTGAGCTTGTACAGTATGTGTGTAGAAACCTTAAGGACCAGAATCTGAGAGTCAACACCACCTCCCTACATTTAGAACACTACTTTCCTTAACTAAATAGGCTTAATCCACCTCAAACAAACAGTAACCATACAAGTTATTTGCCCCAACTTGTAACTATTCATAGGAGTGCTCGCATTTACCTAATCAGTACGCGACCGAGATGCTAGCGCAACCATCTCAACAAGAAAATGGGAGACCATGCAACAACGCACGTACACCAACACACCCCGGCGGTCGGGAGAATACTGACTGGCTTGTACAGTGGTGTGCCTCAGTCGCTTCAGTTGCTGCCTTGGTTGACACTCCGCTCCAGGCTGGTGGGAGTGGCCATTGGTGGAGGCGGGAACATGATTCGCGCTACCAGCGAGACTTTACCACTACTCGCCTCTTTCTACACCGGACCCACATATACTGCCCATTACAACTTCAACCTCCTTTTCCTCCTATACAGCAATGTTTAGATGAACATCCCAGGGGGGGGGAATGATTTTTTATACAAATACAATATATAGATAGCTAAATAAAATGTTTCAATCAATATATAATCTATTAACCACCACCAGCAGATGGTCACTGTCTTCTTGGCAGGCATCTTACAGTCTTCAAGATGACACTGAAATAGCTCTCGAATATCCCAAGGAAAAAATATATATATATGAAGAAACAAATGCCAATAGTGACCTATTATTAATTTGTTATTTGACTATCTTCCCATACATAACGCTTGTAGTCGCACATTCACTGCACCTCCGGGTGGCTGCAGCTGCTGGCCTAGCACGAATCTCCCGGACAAAATCACCAGACTAATACAAAAATTCCCGAAGAACATCATAATTTGTTTAATAAGATTTTTTTTATCGTCTGTACAAAACTGTTAAAACAAAATGCAAGAAACTTGCAATTCCTACAAACTTTTACCGATATTCGGAAGGTAAGAAAGTAAATAAACCAGCCGAAGAGGATAACTTATGAAAGAAATCCTAGGTCTATAGCAAAAAATAGATGTTATGGGACTAACAATTTTGGCATAAGACCAATTTGCGCTTATCTCCAAGGGAATGTAACTTGTTCAAGAATAAAACTTACCACCGGGCTGACCTGTATTGGAAAATATATCGTACTAACAAAGTGCAATGGGTTAGTTTCTACCAGCGGTTATCACCGAACATGCAATACTGCATGGTGTTAAATCCACTGTCAAGATTATAAAACCGACCTCTGGCGAAACCAGGAAAACCACTGAATTTCACACGTGGCAAGTTACTGAACGCATCCGGGAGCACCTTGAGATGTTATGGCGCTATTTTGCCTCACTATTCAAGGTCTAACAACTTGAATCATACTGAATTTTTTGTTCAATGAAGTAAAAATTTTAATCTCAAATATCGTTATTATAATGGCAGGACCCCTGTCAATCTTTATTTCTTCACATATCCCTACCTCCCATCCACACACT